TCCTGCACACTATGCTGGGTCTATACAACATGCCTTTATTGTACACTCATTTCCCTTTCACAGCTCTTAGAATAACTGTAATTAAGTAATTGAATATCCTATCTAATAAAAGAGAAACATGCAAAATGACCATACCTTTGCTACCCCAACAAGCCATGCCCACCAGCCAATCAGGAGCAAGAATACAAATTAACCAAACCAAGATGGCAGTTAATTTGCATATCTAGGCGCAGAGCAAAGACTGAAGACAGAGTAGAAGAAAGCCAAGTGCTGCAAAAGGGAACAAGCTGCAGAGAAGCAATCGGGGCAGTGGAGACTGGAGGGAAGAAGACAGGGTGGCAGAGAAGGGAGGGAAGCAGTTGTGGTGATGAAGAAGGGAGGGAAGCAGGCAGTTGTGGTGATGAAGAAGCCCACAGGAAATCCTATTCTTGCAGGAATCTTCCTGCAACAGGCCTCTAGTATAATTATAAGCTCCTGTTTTACCATCAGCTCCATCCTTCATGCTTCCCCGGCATTCAGCAGTGTTCAACTTAAAGAAGGTGCTCAGTAAACATGTGTTAAGTGAGTGGATACCCAAATTTCACTCATCAGTGCCTGGGATGACTGAGAGTGACTGTGAAGTTACAGCTCATGATTCACAGTGCTTCCTGGCCTGTGCACAGGACTAGGCACCTCCTCACTGCTGGCCAGATAGAACAGCAAACAGGGACATGACTCTGAATGGTGAAATGCATGGCTCCACACATTCCATACACCAACTCCACCACATTTTCTGTCTTTGTGACTTCATGCAAAGAAATGGGTCTCAAAATGATTTCTTTAATTTTTCTCCCCCAAAGATTCTTCCTCACACATTTACCTCCTATTATCTCCTCTATCCCAGTTTATTGCAGTTTCCCCTGTTGCTTCACGATGACAAATAATTGAAGCTGTGACTGCATTTGAGAAATAGTTGACACCGCACAGTAACCCCAAACAGCCTGGTGCAGCCTGACTGCTTCGACCATGCCTCCTGCAGGTCCCACTCCAGGGAGGTTTCTGGATGCTCCTGAATCAACATGGACTTCCACATTGTGAGGTGCCATGACTCATTCATTATCAGGAAAACAACACACTCTTACAGCTATTAACATGGAAGGAGCTTGTGTTATATGCAAGGGTAAGAACCACACCCAAATCATCTAGACGGGACTATCCAGTGGTCGTTAAGCAGAATGTTTAAGGTCTGAAAGCTCTTTCTCAATTTCTTCATTTAAGATGTGCCCAATGAACTGAGTGTCATTCCATGCACCAAGTCATTGGTTTGATTCCCAGTCAGGGCACATGCCCGAGTTGAGGTGCGATCCCCAGTGTGGGGCGGGCCGTGCAGGAGTCCCATCAATGATTCCCTCTCATCATTCACATTTCTATCTCTTTCTCCCTCTCCCTTCCTCTCTGAAATCCATAAAAATATATGTTTAAATGTGCCCAGAAAGGAGAGATGATGCTTGGCCAGTCCGGAGGGAGGGCAGGGAGGATCTGTTAGAGCAACTCTTTCTGGCCCATGTGCACATGAAAGTGCTCAATAAACATACGTTGATGATGTGGATGAAATGCTTGTATTTTAAATTAGAGTATGCTCCCAAATGCCAAAATTTGTGGAATTGAATGCAGAAATAAAACCCTGCTTTTAAAGTAGTAAAATTAATTTTTCTGATACAGTGGTGTCTGTAGTCGGTAGCATAGCAGCCTCACTAGTCCCAGGGATTTTTTTCCCCACCCTAGATAGAGAGGAACCAAAATAGTAAAACACAAGCTGTTCATTTTCTATATAACCACAGGAAATCCTTCTATACCTTAGGCCTTGTCAACATGACAGAATGAGAGGACCTACTGACAAAAAAATAATCTATCTTCAGATCACTGTTTTCATCTGAAAATATTTTCCTATTTGTTACAAAAACTACAAACCAGTTTGAGGTGAAATCAACTATTCATGTAAAATGCATGGATCAATGCCCAGGAGAGTTTGTATTTGATATGTGAACAACAGGAGAGCTCTTCATGAAAATTTGGATGGAAAACAAAGGGAAAAACAGTGAAAGACCAAGGCTAAGTTGCTAAAATTCTTGGGAACCTTCCATTTACATAGCCATGCAGAGGGTGTTTAATATATATTTTTACTATTAGCATTAAACCCACAATACTTTCCATTGCCATCATATTGGTGTCAATGGGGCAATAATCACTATTAATTTACAGGAAGACAATATTATCGGAGTGGGTCATATTTCATACCTCCAAACATGTTTAAACACAGCTCTCAACCTGTGTCTGAAAACCCAGGGAAGGAGGGACATGGAAAGACTACAGAATTATTACAGGTGATCTGGGAAACCATATGTGAGGTCACCTGCATTGTCCTAGAAAGAAGAACTCAGTCTCCAAGAAGTATTTCCAATGGTAGTTATGACTGTAATTAGTTGGCCTCCCTCTGAGTAAGGGCGCCTAAGCAGCAGTGTTAGCCATGGTTAGGTGCATAGGTTTTAAGTCAGATGATGTGGATGAATGCCTGCTCTGCTTCATAGAAGCTATATGACCCTGGGTAAGGGGTTTACTTAATTTCTCTAAACCCCATTTCCTCCAGAACTAAACAAGGTAGAGTACACCAATCCCTAAGCATATTGAGCGGTACACAGATAGTCCCCAGATGTTTATGGCCATTGACCACTCTGCTCTTCCACTGTGTGAATTACATATGAATATCTTTTACCCATTTTTCAAATTAAGTTGTATTTTTTCGTATTGATTTTTAGGCATTCTTTCAATTGCATATATATTAATACTTTGTTGTAGCATTTTCTATCTGTTTATCATCCTTTTTACCTCCATAATGTCTTTTGTTGTATTTTTATGTCTTTCACAAAAGTTTTAAATGTTTGTGTAGTTGAATCTATCATTTTAAAAAATGTTTCCAGGTTTCATGTCATGTTGAGAAAGGCATTTCCTATTCCAACATTTTAAACTAATTTCTAACTATTTCATTGTCAGAAAAGATATTTTAAAAACATACAATTAAAATGATTGTCTATTATGTTGTTCACCACAATTTTTTTTAGTCAAAGGTTTAAAATCTTAACAATTTGTGCTAGAAAATAAATTTCTCTTTGGATAACTCGACAGGCTCTTCTTCCCCTGATTTCGTTTCTTGGTTTGCTCTTGTGGTCAGGAAACTCCAAACCTAGGATTTTCTCTTTTGTGTTACTTGGATTTTTATTCCTGTACTATGTTTTTATGATCCCTTTACTGCATGCTATCTTGGATCTTTTCTGAAATTAGAAAGTCATTAAATACAAAATAAATTAATAAATAACTAAATAAATGAAAACAGACAGGGATAAAGTAAATAATAAAACCTATTTATTTTTAATTTAAGCTTTCTCAGGTCACTAGTTTCTCAATCCATCTTACTATAAATTCTTGGTCTGCTAGAATGAACTGGACTGCAGCGGGTAAGATTACAAATATCTTGCTCTCACTCTAATTATTCGTTTACAAATCTGTGCACTTCATTCTGAGCCCCTCTAGGGTAAGGGCAATTCTAATTATCCTCAAATCCAAGTCACCTGTGGCGTAAAGCGAGCACTAAGGTGTTCACTGAATAAATGAGTCAGGAAAAAAGTATCTCACGAAAAAAGCTCACACCAGGAATCAAGTTTAAGGAGGCAGCCCCAGAACACCCAGGGTATGTCCTATTGTGGGCATATGTGGCACCTAAAGTCCTGGATGACAGCAATGAGCAGATGACCCAAAGGTGCAAGAGTTTGCCACATGAGGCTGCAGTCACCAAGGGGAGAAAGCAAAGCCTCACAGTTCGGTTGGCACGACCCAAGTAATTAAAATAACTCAAACACCTCACAGTGTCCAGAAATTCAATTATTTGGGATTTAACTGTATCCTGTGTGCCTACCTTCTACTTTTTAAATAGCTTGATGATGAACAAACGAGGCAATGTGGAAGCTGATTTCGTTTTAGAAACTAGATTTCATTTAAATTAGAAACTCAAACCACTGGCATAGACGAAATGCTAAAATTCACTAATAAAATTTCTATTAATAACAATAATTTTGAAATACAAGGAAGCCTCAGGAGCTGGAGTTAGATTAAAAGAAACGTCCTAAAATCTTTAATAGAGTTTCCTGCTTTGTTTTCCCAGTTCACACCTGATGACTCAATTCCGCTTTCTCTGGGGTTTTCCACAGTGGTGTGGTCTCCTTATCTAAGGCAGAGGAACAAAACAAATTATTGTCTGGCCTTCACAGATCTTGCACTACAGTGAACTGGGCCCAACATCCATTCTCTCTCCCTGTTAATGTGCCTTCCTAGGTGCTGAAGCTGGAAGGCTAAAAACACCCTTGGACTCTGCTGCACAGTCACCTGTGCGTGAGAAGGGGAGGAGCCAGCGGGGTAGGGGCCACACCTGGGTTGCTCTGGCAGTTTTCACTGACAAACATCATTGCTTGTCCTATGTTTGCATCAGCTGCGTTTCCTGCATCCCATCACCAGCTTCATAGGTGTGGAGGGGCAGGGCATGTTCTGGGTCCAGCATGCAAAGCGTGGCTCTGGGTCAGTCCTGCTGAGGTAGCTGTTGATCCCTGGATTCCAGCTTTGGTGACACAAGCATCCTGGGTCCCCGGAGAGGCAGCGGGTCCCTTTGGAGGACAGCCCGGATCTTGCTCCCACAGCCCTTCCAGTGATTTTGTCAGCTTCTGCTTCCCCAAGACAAATGCCGATCTGGCCTAAAATAGCTTGATTCTTGTTTATTTTACCATCAAAAGAGTGAGAGGCAGTTGTGATGACTTAAACATGAAAAATGAATGTGCCTTAAAAGACAATGGTATTATAATTGGTATCATAATAAATATTACTAACTTTAAATGCCATTTAAAACTCACCTATCATCCCATCTAAACTGATGTGCACAGAGACATTCCAGAGACATTTAATGCAGAAAGTCTTACCAGCAGGCGTGGCTGTGGATTTTGGTGCTGGAAGCAAACTCCTGCGGGGGGCTGTGCCGCTGGAGGCCGCCAGAGGGGCAGCGCGGCCGGCTCCCCTGGGCGCATCTTTGGAAGGCAGGGCTGCTTTCAGGGCTGGCTGCTCTTCATTCCCGAAGGCTGAACCTGCGGGAGGCAGATAGTGGGTTAATTATAACTTCATGAAAAATGGATGGGCCCCACTGCCATTTGCAGTTGCCAACCAATCCCACTTTGGAACTCGACCTCTCAGTGAGTAGCCCTGAGAAGCAATTTTCCGGGACCAGCTGTGAAAAAAGTTCCCTTCAGACACCTCATAAAAGCCTGCCATTTAAATCTCTGGGGAAGGGACTCCACAAAAGTCAAGAGCAGCCTCAGTCCAGAGACTTTGCACAAATGCACACACAAGCCTCCTTCCCACCCCCCCCCCTACACACACCTACACACACACACACACACACATACACACACACACACACCCCTATATCTATAGCTATGTGGCTGTGTAACTATACATGATATGCGCTTATCTGGTAACTCTAACCCTTTCTTAGAAACCCATGTGAGGGCTCAGGAGGGGTGAGAATAGGACTTAAACTAGGCAGTTTATGCAGAGCTCCCTTGGACACAGCTAATTCCACCTTCAGAATAAGAGGTTTGGGATGAAGGGATACAGAGAATCTCTTTGAAACTCAAGAAACTTTTGCTTGAAAAGCTGAAGCCTCACCCAACTGAAAGGACACCGAATTAAAGCCTAGGTTATTTCTAAGACAGAAGACATTTATGGATAATTTCCGTTTACTATTCAATACAGAAGCAGACTCTATATAAAATGGTGTATTTGTGACTGACTGCTCTGACACTCCAAACATATGGTAAATTGGGGTATGTGTCAGGTCTAAACGCACAATATGGTTGTGGCCTAAACTCTTCTAGATTTTTCCAAACCTACAGACAGTGACACCACCATCTAGTTCCCGTTAAAGGAAAAATCTTCTAAATACACCTCTGCGTACAGCTGAGAGGCCTAATTTACTAAATTAAACAGAGAGTCTTAAAGTACTAAGATTACTGCTTGTTTGGGATAAAGCCATCCAGTCATAGGAACGCGCCCATTTCCATGGAAAATAAGCAATGACGCTGAAAGAAGTATACAGAATTTTAGTGAAAGATTAACTTTTTTTTGTTTTCATCATTTTAAAAGGATAGTCACCACATTCTATTTAGATAGAGCCTACATGAAAACAACATTACTAAAATGGCTTTAATGTTCAAACCATCCAGGAATTGTATTAAACCACTTAGAGTAAGAATTTCAACCACTTTCCCCCTTCTGAAGACCTGAAAGTCTGTTTGAAAATGGGTGAAATCTGTTTTGTTTCTAAAGAAAAGTGTATTTAGAAAGTAAAATAAAGAACATGCCATTTCCTAACACAGAACCCACCAGATACCTCTTTTAAGACATTGTGCAAGGATTTAAAGAGCTCTAAACAGTGCTATCAGAATGCCTTTGATCTATGTAAACAGAACAAATGAATTAAAACTCTACCCAAAGGATGTGCACTGTGCGGTGAATGTCAGATAAGAAAGCAAGCACATGTTTGACCCAAACCCCGTCAGGAAAAGGGGCACTGTAACCTGCAGAACAGTGAGTGTTCTCTTGTGAATCAGAGCAGGCTCACCAGTCCATCCTGGAGCTAGACATTCTCCGGAGGGGAGAGTGGCGGGGGAGGTATTGTAGGACACTTCAGATGGACCAGGAACTCAGCCACTGGAAATATTTCCCATGGAATTACATCATGTTTAGATCACTGCAGACAGTACTGCTAAAATAAAATAATCTATTCACCAAAATGTGTAGTAGAAGCTGAATTGAGCACAAAACCTTTCATACAGACCTTTAACAAGCCATTAACATTTCTCAAGAAGGGAAATATTTTGTGTCATTTGTAAAGTTCAAATGCCTTTTTATCAAACCCTCTTGTTACCAGCATAATTCTCATACACGAAATTTATTATTCAATGAACATGTCCATTTTGAGATTTGGCAACGTCCAGGCTGGGAAAGAAATCTGTCTGAAGTATGAAGTGCCAAGAGAGTAAAATAAAATAAAACTCTATTCCTGTACATTGTTATGGGACACAGCTGGCAATGAATGAATGGTACCACTCTTTGAAGACCAGCTTAAGAGTTCCAGGAATTAAAAAAAAAAAAACCCAACACATTACTGTTAGGAAATGGCAAGTGAAAAGTACTTGAGAGACCTCAGGTCAAGATTTCAGAGTGGTAAACCTGTGCGCACCTCCTCCCCACCGACCACATCAGAATTAAGGGGGTATGACGGGTGCTGGGAGAGACTGGACAAAAATCAAACACCTATGGATGAGGACAATGGTGGGTGGGAAGTGGGGGAGATAAAGGCATGGAGTGGGGTGGGAACCAGGTGGAGAGGAACTATGGAGAGAAAAAAGAGGAACAACTGTAATAATCTGAATAATAAAAACTTATTAAAAGAAAAAAAAAAAGAATGGCAATGAGGACAAACACTAACCAAACCACAGGGAGATTCTTAAGAGAATGGCTGGAGAAGAAAAGCAAAGCTGTTATTAATAGTATGAGGCACTACAATCAAATTTTAAAAAAACACATTTCACAGATTTTGAATATGTACCCATGTTATAATGATGAAACTATTCTCTTCACTGATATTTTTAAACAACCCCAGGCAATCAAGCTGTATAATGTCCTGGCTGCATGATTGCCTAACTGATGCATATTTCATTGATTGATTTGGCAGCATTTATCACTTGGTAGCAAAATTTAGTTTAATTATTAACATCTAGGAATGTTTTATTTCTCATTTTCTGCATATTTTAGCTCAGGTGTTTGTTATACTTCTCACATTAAAGAGCTGAAGTCTTACCATTTTAGCCAAGCTCTTTTCTTGTCACATGAAATATGCCAGCCTCCATACTAGGCAGGGGCCCAGGAAAGAGAGGTCTGCTGTCACATACTTGACTTACATTCCAGTGGGGGTGACACCCAGACCACAAACAGACATGGAGCCAAATAAGTCATCACATACTGTGATTAGTAAGAAAGAAACACAAGGGGCAGAGCTGGAGGAAAATCTCAAGGGTGAAAAAGAAAAAACCTGCATTAGGTGGAATGGCTCAGGAAGATCTCTTGGAGGAGGTGACATTGAGTCACATTGGCTCAGGAAGATCTCTTGGAGGAGGTGACATTTCTCTCAGCTGCACACTGGCCTCTTGGCCTCCTTTATCCTTTCTTATTAATGCCACCATCAGTGTTCTATAAAATTAGAATTAAAGCATCTCTCTTGCACCTCTCCCTTGTATCAACCAATGCAGTCAATGCATTGAGGACCTCCTCCCTCCTCCCCGCTCTGAAAAAGAACCCTTTCCAATGCAGTCAGTGTGGCTCCTCCATAATGGACTTCAAAAAGAGGCAACTCAAGAGAACAGCAATTCTTTATCCATCTCCCTAGAGGCCTGGGTCCTAATAAAAAACAAAACAAAACTGTGAAACAAGCATTTCACTACTCCCACTTCACCGAAAGCAATTGGTAACTTCTTCGTGGCCTAAGGATCCTTCTGAATGCAGCACCCAGGAGTTCAGTAAGAGATTCCAGCCCTGGACCAGAGGACACATGTTCCTCTGTACTCAGCATCCTCAACAGTTGACAGGATACACTTCTATAGATGGAGCTCCTCCAATTGGACAATATATCAAAGTCTTAAGAGTAAAAATACAAGTACCACATAAGAGAGTCATGGATACCACAGGCTCTGACCAAATTCAACATCAGATTGAAAAGTTATTAGTAATATTCTCTTTAAAAAGTTAAAAAACCTCTGATGAAATTCCTTATTATTTATGTATTTACCCTCTGTTATTAATCTAATAATTAAATGAGAAAATGCAGATACAGCAATTTGCAAAGTGCCCAGTGCTCAATAAATGTTAGTGGTCAACACCAGTACAAGTACCAGCATCAGCAGAAGTAGCTCTTTCATCACTGTCATGTCTGCAACCTCCCACTCAGCCCCGCACAAGTCCAAATGGCACCCACTTTGAGATCCTGTCCCCTTAAGACATCTTCAAGGCCACTTGATCATTGATGGGGACAGATGATTTCTGCAAATAGTCAGTACTGATGCTAACAGTCATCTCTGCCTTCACAAGGTCTTACTGATTCAAGTGGTAGTCTTCTAAGTGCCCCAGGCGTAGGCATCACTCCTCCAAATCCCATTCTTTGGACAATGATCACAGAAGAGGAGGAAATCTTTGTCCCCCTACTTTCTGTCTTCTTCCCTCCTGGGCACTCTCCTCTTTGAGTCCATTCTAATATATAGCAAAGAGGGTCCTCATTCTTATTTCTACTCTGGAAATGAGGTGTAAAGACACAGGTGAACTGGTAAAATGAGAGTCATAGTCCAGGGGCACAAATGTGAAAGAGAAATTAGATCTATAAGAATGGTGCCTTCCTTCATCTGAGAGTGTGACATTCTCTGACCTGGGCAAGTTTCCCAGTCCCTCAGAGCCCAGTCAAATGCCATCTACTTTACAATACCACCTCTCAATTCCCCTCTAGGTCACAGAACTACTTTAAGAAAGACCAAGCTGGTTAACAAAGAAATAAAAGGCCAGAGGTGATAATACCCTCTCAAAGTCAGGGAAGTAATAATGAAAGATGAAAGCCAGCATCACCCAGCCCAAGACTTCTGCATCTTCACCATCCTCAAGGTCTCCTTCTGATTTGAAAAATTCTCTTTAATATCCACCAAGCCACATTCCCAAAGAAGAGAACACAGTCAAATATTGATGGAAGTTAGTTACTTAAAAGACCAAGGACTAATATGATATATCAAGAGCCATGTGAAAAGCAACTTTTTGTATCAATGAGACCAGTTGTAGTAAATCCTTTCTCCCCATCTGAAATACCTAAAGCTTGAGCAATCCAGAAAAGTCTGGTCCATCGATGTGTGAGTCTTCTGGTAGTTGATACCTTGGGGAAAACGTTTAAAATGAAGCATTTTGATTATATGCTTAATATGAGAGCTGTTAAAAGATATCATCTGATTATAACTTGATTTAAATTCTGGTATAGTTATTAATATGGTAC